CTCTCTCTCTCTCTCTCTCTCTCTCTCTCTCTCTCTCTCCTCTCTCACTCTCTCTTAAAAAAAAAAAAAAGAAAAAAGAAAAAGAAAAGCATCCATCGAAACTACAGCTAGCTAAGACAACCTCACAGTTAAGAAATAAGGAGGACAGTCACTCACTGCCAAGGTTTGCTGAAGTGCACAGTGGTGGAAGTGAGAGTGGGCAGAACACACTACTGCTCTAATGTAAAGGAAGTACAGCAGAGACAACTGGGACTGAGGCCAGGCTAAACAGAACTTTCGTATGGCATCTCTCACTTTTGGCATGACTTTATCTTTTCTCCTCCTCCCCCCCACTTTTTTCTTTTTTGGTTCCAGAAACTGAACCCAGAAGTGCTTAACCACTGAGCCACATCCCCAACCCTTTTTATTTTTTGAGAAAGGATCTCACTAAGTTACGTAAGGCCTCACTAAGTTGCTGAAGCTGGCTTTGAACTTGCAATCCTCCTACCTCCGTCTCCTGAGTTGCTGGGATTATAGGCATACACCTCTGCACCTGGCTTTTGGTCCCCCTTTTATAGGTGTGCTTGCTTCAAAGTTTATTGCAAGTGGCTGGAGGTCCCAAGAGATAAGGGTATAACTAAGAGATCTTTTAACATACAATATATCTAAAGGATACACATCCACTCTCTCCCTGCTTATTATGTGAGACAGAAATTATTGGCTGTTCATCCATATCCATTCCTCCCATTGTCCTCAATGATTAAATCCAAAATTTTTGGGGGGGGAGGTTACTGGGGATTGAACCAGGGGCACTTAACCACCAGCCACATCCCCAGTCCTTTTTATTTTTTATTTTGAAATAGGGTCTCACTAAATTGCATAGGGCCTTGCTAAATTTCTGAGTCTGTCTTTGAACTTGCAATCTTCCTGCCTCAGCCTCCAAGGTCACTATGATTGCAGCAGGTAAGCACCCCTAAGGCCAGCTTAAATCCCAATTTTATTCAAGGTGGCAATATGTCCAACTGTTAAAAGTAACATATTCCAGCCTTCTTCTGTAGATAGGCATGGCCATTCACTCTAACCAATAAAGTATAGGCAGAAGTTATTAGGTATGACTTTAAATATAGTTCCTTAAGAAAGGAAAAGCAGAGGTTGAGGATGTAGAGTGCTTTGTCTACCATGTGCAAGGCCCTGGCTTCTATCCCCAGTACCACAGCAGTGAAAAATGATAGAGGGGAGGGGGCTGGGAAGAAAACAAGCAGATGAGGTTGCTCCCTTGCATACTCATTCTTTCCCCTACTTTGGAACTCAGGTATAACAGTTTGAGCAGATATCGTGGGCCATAAGATAGACTGCAGTACTTGTTTAAAATTCTTCCTTCCTGGGCTGGGGTTGTAGTTCTGTGGTACAGCACTTGCCTGGCATGTGTGAGGCACTGGGTTCGACCCCCACATTAACTAATTAATTAACTAATTAATTAATTAATTAATTAAGGTACTGTGTCCATCTATAATTAAAAAATATATTTTTAAAAATTCTTCCTTCCTTCCTTCCATCTTTCCATGGTTTACTCTGAGAAAACCAGGCCTCCCCACCCGAGTCTCTGAATGTGCCAGTAGAATGTGGACAAAGTCACTGCACAATTCCAAATAGGGTTTCAGAGGGAACACATTTCCAAACTCTCCTCATATGGCCTTGACCCCCACGAGAAGACTCGAATATCCTCCATGAGGAGAAGAGCATCCCCCACAGTCCCCTTGATCTGGTTCCTAGAATAAGAAGCAAATAAAGCAGAACTGTCATGTTCTCAAGTAGAACTGCCACTACCAACTCAAAGATCCAGGAGCAAAAGACAAATATTTCTTCTTTTAGACCTCGAGATCCTGGGATTGCTTGGGACATATTAGTGAGGCAAAAGTTGGCTAATACAGACCATAAGATGACCTTGAATTGGGCTGGGGATGTGGCTCAAGCGGTAGCGCGCTCGCCTGGCATGCGTGCGGCCCGGGTTCAATCT